CTCCAACTTCCCACATGAGTTTTTAAATGTTAATAAATCTTTAAAGGTTTTGTTGATTTGTTTATTGAGAGAGGTTCTCTTTAATGTAGCTCTGGCTGCCCTGGAGTTTGCTGTGTAGACAAGGATGGCCTTGAACACAGAGATCTATCTGCCTCTGCCTTCCAAATGCTAAGAGTAAAGGTTGCACAACCGTACATGGCCTTTAAAGGTTTTAAAAAATTACTATCCTAGTCAGTGAGTTTGTAGAGATATTGTAGCCCATGGTTCTAAATGTGAACTCTTGGGGCCAAATTCCCTAAATTGAATTCTGGCTTTTTGTGCCTGTTTCTTATTTCTAAAATGGGATTAATTAATTATTCCAAATTAATCTTGAGTTTTTAATATATATGTGCATATATATATATATATATTTTTTTTTTTCTGATTCTTGTCACTTCATGAGCCCAGTTTCAGTGAGTAATTAAACCCAGAGATCATCTCATATGAAAATGGAATCTGATTAAGTCATTCTCGGCCTTCAGAAGACCTCTGCAGCAGGATCCAGTGACTCTGCCAAGAAAAGACCCAGCTTCTCCTAGTTCTTTTATCTGTCTGCATTTCTCCCTAACTGAAGCTATCTTGCTCCACTCTCCTGAGTCTTCTCTTCCTCACAGTCCCTCCCTTCTTTTGTGTTGTCATGGCCCATCTTGACTCCAGTAGACTTGCTATACCTCATGATTTTTACCCTGAGGTCACTGCCAACTACCTTACCTTCTGCCTGCTGTTTTAGTAAATAAAAAGTGTTGGGCTATATATTATTTATTATCACTTGCCCTGGAATTATTGCAGCGATATTATTTAACCCACTATCACAATCAAATAAGACACAGACACCTCTTAGATTTTATAATGGCCTTAAAACCCTGGGCTGGGCAAATACTTTACCTGTGCGGCCTCAATAACCTCACCATCCACCTTCCAGCCCCCATCCAAAGCCTACCTAACCATCCTCGTTTGAGCTATCTTCCATCCACAGTCTTTTAAATACTTCTTTGTATTCTTTATCTGGGCTTTTTCACACCATTATGGGAGTCCTTACTCCCAGCCCACATGGTTTCTTCTCCACACTTCTTCACTCCACTGTGGCGTCCTCTCCTCTTTCCTGTCCAGCTGTCATAATTCTCTTGAACCTGAAGGCCAGGAACCTTAGCCACGCCTACTCCATTCTGCCCACTCCATTCCACCCTGCCCAGGTATAGGCCTTTAATCAACCAATCAGGTATAATTTCTTAGGCAGGTTTACAAAACAAGAATAGATGTATCCAGGCAGTAACCAGATCTTTGAGAGCCAGCAATGAGCATCAAAATAAAGCATCAGAACAACTCCCAACAGTTTGCTCATGTCAGCCTCTCAGACGTATGCGTTATAAAGATAGAGCTTTAGGGCTTGGAAACCTCAAAGATCAGTGGCTCTTTGCCCCCCTCTAGCTACTGGGTAAGAAAGATGATTGACATCTGTAAGATTTCACAGCCTGGGCTGTCGTCTTCAGTAAGATATATGTGTGTTTCAGGATATTTGATGGCATTGTGAACTAGAAAAACCTGTTTCTAGTTGTGGTGTGTCTCAGTGCTAGTATACACCTTAATGTAATAGTTTCTGTAAATAGGATTAAACGAAGTTAACCTTAGGCCAAAAGGCAGAGCAAGCAACCAGCTAACAGGAATTAAACAGAGAGGAGGGACATTGAGTTGAAGGGTATTTAAGATAGTGTGGGGGAGGAGAAAGCTTTTTCCTTATGGGAAGTCAGCTGAGTAGGAAGGTCAGTGGGTGCATTCTTTGCCTCTCTAAGCTAGTAGGCTTTCATCCCAACATCTGGCTTCTGGGTCTTTATTGGTAAAATCAAACCACTGGGGTACTCTTTTTTTATAACGTGTGCTGACAGAAAGATGAGGTGTGAAATGTGCCTGTCAGTGATGTCAGCAGTAGAACACTAGTGAAGGCAACACCTATGAAGAATGTTCTTTACAGATGTAGAGCCAGTAAAGCACTGTAATTAACAATGGCTTTATTTCATGGTGGGTCCCAGATCCTATTCAGGATAGTATGACATTTGAGGTTTGCTCATATGAATATAGAAGTCCCACTATGTACTTTGTAAACCACTGGAGAACTGAAAAAGGTGAATTCAGTTCAAGGCTGAGAAGTGAGCATCTTCAATGCCTTGGAGCAGAAGGAGACAGATATTCTAGTGTAAGAGAGCTTGAATCTGTCCTTGGGTCCTTGTCAAATAACATTCCTCCAACAAGAATAGAGGTGGATCATCTTTACTCTGCCTACCTGTTTAGATACTCTTTCTAAATCTTTTATTGTTTTTTTTTTTTTTCAGACAGGTTTTCTCTGTGTAGCCTTGGCTATCATGGACTCACTTGTTGACCAGGCTGGCCTCCAACTCAGAGATTCTCCTGCCTCTACTTCCCCAGGTTCTGGGATTATGGGTGTGCACAACTGCACACAGGTCAAATAATACCTTCTAAAGCACTCACTGATGTTAAAGCTATGTTGACATGAATGAGATATCCCCAGAGTCTCAGGCCTTTGAAACACTTGCTCCCCAGTTAGTGGCACTGTTTGTAGAAGCTTAGGAAGTATGGCCATGTTGGAGAAAGTATATCACTGAGGGTAGTCTTTGAGATTAAAAGTGTCACTACAGCTAGTTTGTTCTTCATGTTTGTGGTTCAAGATGTAAGCGCTCAACTGTTTCTGCGGCCATGCTCCACCATCATGGACTTTAAAGCCTTTGAAGCCATAAGTCCAAATAAACTCTTGATCCTGTAAATTGCCTTGTTCCTAGTGTTTTATCACAGCAACAAAAAAAAGTAACGAAAACAACAGCTATCTGGCGTCACTTACTTGCCCAGGCAAGCTGGCACATTAAAGCAAGCATCAGAAGGAGTGTAAAGGTGTATCTCAGTTATTGTTTTATAGCCGACCAACACAAGTCGTATAAAAGAAAGTACTTTATTGGGGGCTTTCTTACAGTTTCAGAGGTTTAGTCCATTTTCATCAGGGCAAGTTGCTTAGTGGCACACATTGTTCTGGAGCACTAGTTGAGAGTTACAGCATGATCTGTAGGCAGAGTGTGAGACTCTGGGCTTGGCATGGGCATTTGAAATCTTAAAGCCCACCCCCAGTGACACACTTCCTCCAACAGTCACACCTCCTATTCCTTTTAATCCTTCCAAATGGTGCCACTCCCTGGTGTCTAAGCATTCAAATATATGAACTGTGGGGACCATTCTTAATCAAACCCCACAGTGGAGAACTGGAGAGATGACTCAGCAGAGTTCTTGCTTCTTTTCTAGGGATTATTTGAGTTCAGTTCCCAGCAACCAAGTCAGGCAGCTCATAACTGCTTATAACTCCAGTTTCACGGAATCTGACACCTCTTCTGGCCTCTGTGGGCAACTGCACTCAAGTGCACATAGTCATGAATAGACACATACACATACACACAGTTTAAAAATATAAAATTTTGCCCAGCATGGTGGCATATACCTTTAATCCCAGGGATCAGGAGGCGGAGGTAGAGGCAGGAGGATCTCTGTGAGGTTGAGGCCACTGCTCCACATACTGAGTTCCAGGACAGCCAAAGTTATATAGAGAGATCATGTCTCAAACAAACAAAAACAAACAAACAAACTTTTTATTTTAATTAAAAAAAAAAGTGTGGGGTGGGGGGATTTGACCCAGGCAGCCTAATTCAGACATCATTGCATTATACTCACAGTTTCTGTTTATCTGAGCGGACATCTTTCTAGAAAAGCATAATCATGGTTTTCTATAACCTTATATGGTAAAAGAAATGAACCCACTGCACATTCAGATTGTTTGTTTCCCTCTTTTCAGCTTGAATAACAGTTTGTTGTTTGTTATAGTTTTTTTAATCATTATTTTTTAATATTTTATTTAATGTGCATTGGTGTTTTACCTACATGTACATCTATGTGAGGGTGTCAGATTCTCTAAAACTGGGGTTACAGACCGTTGTGAGCTGTCATATGAGTTCTGGAATTGAACCTGGGTCCCTGGGAGAGCTGGCAGAGCTCTTAACCTCTGAGCCATCTCGCCAGCCCCTAATTATTATTTTGTAACTTTGATTTTTATTTTATGTGTCTGAGTGTTTTGCCTGCATGTATGTTTGTACATTATATGTGTGTGGTGTCCATGGAGGCCAGAATAGTGTGTCGGGTCTCCTGGGATTAGAGTAACAGATGCTTATGAGCAGTCATAGAGTTGCCAGGAATCAAAGCTGGGTTAAGAGCAGCCAGTGCTCTTAATCACTGAGCCATCTCTCCAGCTCCTGTGGACTAACCTTTTTTAAGAGACAGGAGTATGTAGAGGGAAGAAAATAGACTCTGGAATCTGACAGTTCTGGATTTGAATACAGAGTCAAACTGTTACCTCTATGTGATCACTGTAGCCTTTCTGATTCTTAATCTTCATATTGGTAAAATAAAGACTCAGGAGTACTAGAAAGTACTTGGTTGGTAGCAAGTACTGTTACTAGAGAGGATGATAATACCCTGCCAATCACTTGGCACACTTAATCTTCTTTATTGCTATTGGATGGTACCTCACATGGACTTTCCTTTTTTGGTTTTCTTTTATCCCTCACTCTATTACTAAAGTTCCAACCCAGGGCCTTGTAAATGCTAAATAGAATTATCACCTCCCACACCCTTCAAGTCAAGTGTTGCAAATATTCTACCATACCCTCCCTAGATCATACATTCCTGATTGTTGGATGTTGGGTCCAGAATCCTTGTCACATTACTTAAGGCAGTGACTTTTAACCAGTAGAAATTGACATAGGAGACAGAACTACGTGTCATCTCTCCTTCAGGACCAGATAGAGTGGCTGTCCACGAAATGCCTTAGTAGCTCCCCTAAACTTGTCTTTATTTTCTTTCAGTCTCTTCTTCACCTTTTGACAAGTAAGGTTTGGAAAAAGTTGCCGGTGATGACCCTGAATTCTTACCCTTCTAAGGATGAGCAAGAAAAGAATTCCAAACCCATTGGCCGTTACCCTGTTCCTTATAAGAAGGACCTGCCCTTTGACATTGTAGAGCTCATGGATGAGGTGGAGAGACAGGTGAGACACCCCCTGCTGAGGGGGCCAGTGCCAGTGGAGACCTATATGGACCGCAGTGTAATCGCCAGCACTGCTTGTCATGGTCTGTCTGAACTCACCACTGTGTGGACCCTTCCCAGGTCCAGGTTCCTTCGTCCATATACCTTTCCTCCTAGGTATAGCCTCTAGGCTTCTGTGGCTCTCCTCTGTCCCTTAGTCCTCTGCCCACTGTGACTGAGGTGCACTGTGTAGTTCTGTCTAGCATTGTAGTGTAGTGTGGATATATAACCAACATAACTGAGCGAGGATACTTGCTAGCTACGTAAGTGATAGATATCTTGCTCTTTCCTGTAAAAGTCAAGCAGAAAGGTGAAAACAGCAATCTGATTCATTTATATTTTGTGAGAATATATACTTCTATATGTCCTATTATATCCCATTATGAATATTTTGATGTTTTCTTTCCTATATTCTTTGTAAAAATATCCAGGTAAATTTCTTTAATGAAATTATGTTATCTTGAAAATTGTTCTAGGTCAAACATCATTATTTTTAGTGGTGCCTTTTATGAGGCCACTTGTATAAAGATACTGTAATTTATCTCCACAGTCCACCAGAACTGGACTTGAGCTTGTAACAAACTGCTCACATGTATATCTTTGTACGTGTATATATGTTTGTCCATATATCTTTTTGTACATCCATGAATTGCTCTCTGATTGCAGTTTAGTTTTGCTTGTTGTTGCATTTTCTAGTATAAATAATTTGTTTTCCTGTTTACAGAGTAACATTGTAAAACCACAGTATTAAATGAACTGCATTGCTTAAAATAATTCCTTAAATTTTTTATGAAAGCATATTTTAATAAAACTAAACCAAAATAATATCTCTGAACATTCATGTAATATTTTCTGTATAAATCAATAATTACATGATCTGATTTTTAGCCTAAAGGCTTTCAACCATGCATATATCCAAGATAGATTCAGTGCTTTAATGTTCGGCTGTAGAAACAGTTACGATCCTGCACAAACAAGGAACAGCAGGCTATACAGCAGGACTCTGACAGGGAGCTCTGTAGCGTCTTGTGTGGTGGAGCTCTGATAGTAGTTTTTAGTAGCTGGGGATTTATTTGGCCAAATTCCAAGATCCTCCGTAAACATAGACATTTGTTTTAAACTCTTGTTTTTTCAAATTAATACTGCCTTAATAGAACCAGTTATATAAAGATAAGAACATGGCTGCTTTGGTTGGAAAACCTTGCCATCCCCAGCTGTTTCCTCTTCCCAAACGTCCATCTAGTGTAAATGGGTCTTTATGCTGTGTCTTCCGGACTGTTAGTGACCATTTAGTATGTAGTGTCAGTGTCTTTGTTTTCAGCTGCAGCTTGAACAGAAAATTCAGTTTTGTAGTGTAACAGCAGGAATAGTTCAATGTCTCATTTAACTGCAGCTTCAGAGGTAGAATGATCCCTGGCTTGTTTAGTTCAGTGGCTCAGTGATATCATGGGGATTAGTTTTCTTTCATTTCAGTGTGATGACTGCTCAGACTTATGGCCTTTTAGATGACCACAATGGCAGCAGAGATCACATCCCCGTACAGCCAGCCACAGAGGAAAGGAGGGCATTCCTGTAGGTGCTAGGTTTTTAAACTCTACTTTATTTGGGGTTCATAAAGCCTCTACCTCCCTTCCAACCCTCCAACTGTAGGTAGGAGAGGAGGAAGGTAGAAGGGAAAGGGGGCATAGACCTCATTATTTCTTCTGGCTGGGTAGGTTATCAGTTGTTTTTTGGGTAGGTTATCAGTTGTTTTTTTTTTTTTTTTTTTTTTTTTTTGGCGGGGATACAATACCAGTCTCAGTCATCAGGATATCCAGCAAACACAGCAAGCAGTGTTCTTTCTTCAAAGCGTTCTCTTTGTTCAGCTCCTCTAAGCCACTGCCTTCTCTCGCTGTCTGGGTTCTCATATTTACCCTACCTGCAGCTGGCAAAGACCACACCCCTCTCTGTGCTGCACGAGCTGTGGACAAACTAAAACAGTCCCATATCCCACAGTGATTAAAACAAAAGCACATTTACATAACATACCTGAGTTTTTAAACAAACGAAAACTTCCACTACATATTCCTTTCTCTTATCCCTGTTGGAGAGTAATATATGCTCCCCTTCATTTCTAACTAGTCACATTAGTTCATTTCATGTGCTAATCACTGACAAATAAAATGAATTTACTATAATTCATTCATCCACTAGTGTTACAACAATCGTTTAGACTCTGCTGAACCATGACTTTGTATATAAACAAATCCCAAGTTCTGTTGTCAAGGGAGGAAAAAAGAAACTGACAGTTGTCTGCCATTCCATCATGTTAGAAAAAATATAAACGCCAGAATCTGTAGACTGCTCTTCCCATCAAGACATGGCCTTGAATAACACGCTCAACTGGTTCAGACCTCTATTTCTTTATCATTAAACTGGGGAATATTATTACCTGCCTTATACTTTATAGATTTACAGATAAGGATAAATGAGATTGGAAGTATGAAAAAAACTTTGAAAAGAATTTTACCCTATCAGCCATATCAAGGTGAGTTACTGCTTTTTTTCAAAAAAACAGCCTTGGGTGTGCCTTGGGTGTAGCTGTGTAGCCTTGGGTGTCCTGGAACTCACTTTGTGGACCAGACCAGGTTGGCCTTGAACTCAGAGATCTAACTGCCTCTGCCTCCCAAGTGCTGGATTAAAGGTGTATGCAACCACCGCCAGGTTTTTGTTTTTGTTTTTTGTTTGTTTGTTTGTTTTTGTTTTTAAATGGCGTTTCACTATATATCCCAGGATTGTTTTAAACTCATTCTGGGACTGGAGAAATGGCTCAGTGGTTAAGAACACTTGACTGCTCTTCCAGAGGTCCTGAGTTCAATTCCCAGCAACCACATGGTGGCTCACAACCATCTGAAATGGGATCTGCCACCTTCTTGTAGTGCATGAAGACAGAGTACTTACATAAATAAAATACATGAATAAATCTTAAAAAAAAAGAAACTAATTCTGTATCCCAAACTAGACTTACACTCACAGCAAGTTTCCTTCCTCAGCCCCCCAAGACCTGGGAGTGTAGGTATGTTCCCAGGACTAGTTAATAATTCTAAGAAATAATGAAGCACACCAGCCTTTCTGTGAAATGGCAGTACCTAGGCCAGAAAATCTAAATGGTAGGATGTTTCATTAATCTAAGTATTGCAGTCTCTAAATTTCAAAATGTTAATTACCCAAAGCTATCATATGTATTTTGGAAGTAACACTTATACCCTGAAAGGTGAAGGAATGTGCAGGAGAGGGCTGTAACGCAAGGCTGGCATTTAACAGAGGATAGGAGTGGTACCGAGTTATTGTTGGTTATTCTGCTTCTAGTTTTTGTTTTCTTTGACTCTTTTTTTTTTTTCTTTCTTGCAGATAGGATTTTTACCAAATATATTTAAAGTGTTATCTTACCGGCCATTGGAATTCCGAGCTTTCTTTGCTTATTACAATGCCATCTATAACAAAGAAACAGGTAAATGGAAATTCATTGCTAACATATTCTTGGATAAAGCCCAGGTGCCTGGCTTCTGGTTCTAGCATTTCTTCCCTAGTCCTAGGTCCCTATGTCAGGAAGCAACTCAGCTTCTGTGACATCTCTGCATTCTTATTGTTTTGTTATTAGTGGTAGTGGGTGAGGGGAAGGGTGGAAAGGGAGAAGTAGAGGGGGCGAGAGAGAGAATGGGAATGAATATGAGTACCTAATCATATAGTCCTGCATGGCCTGGAATTCACTGTGTAGCCCAGGCTGAGCCTGAACACACAGCATTCCTCCTACCTCAGCTTGTCAAATGCTGGGATTATACTACCACGTTCACTGACTAGACTTTGAAGTCAATGTCTGACTGCAGCTTTATGACTATAGGTACAGAACTTAAATAAAGTAATAGTAATCTTTCGTACTTAGTTATCTGTGGCTCTTAATGGTCCCTAAATAATCATGAGCCTGGAAGTTAAAGACTTATTTCTTAGGATTCAGTTGGGCTGATACCACCCAGAGAAAAAGTATACAATACATTGGTTTAATACAATTTTTTGTTCTCTCTCATCTAATTATTTCCATATGAGCTGCTAAGGCCTGACTTGGTCTTTTTTAGTGTGTGCTGTGGGATAATTGTCACCAGCAAAAAGAAGTAGCAGTGGTCGTCACTTGTCCCTTTCCGTAAGGTCAGGGCATGGAAGTTGCACACATTACCTCCACTTACCTCTCATAGGCCAGATTTTGTCCATCAGATTTAGCTACAAAAGAAGGTTCTGTGCTCGGCTGCATTCGGAGATCCTGAGTACTAAAGGAAAAAGGGAGTGACACAGATGGATTGTTTTGGGTTTGTTTGTTTGTTTGTTTGTTGAGACAGGGCCTTATGAGTCTTGGCTGGCCTGGAGCTCACTGTGTAGACCAAGCTGGCCTTACAGAGATCACCACACCTCTGCCTCCCTAGTGCTAGGGATAAACACAAGCACAGCAGTGCCTTGATAACAAATATCGGGAGACAGCAGCAAGTCTGTCACAGTAGTTCTTTTTTTAATAATCTATTTTTATTTTATTGCATTGGTGTTTTGCCTACATGTATGCCTGAATGAGGATGTCAGATCTTGGAGTTACACACAGTTATGAGCTGCCACGTGGGTGCTGAGAATTGAACCCAGGTCCTCTGGAAGAGTAGTCGGTGCTCTTAACTACTGAGCCATCTCTCAGCCCTCTGTCACAGTAGTTCTTCATGGCCTGTCACCAGCCTAACATCCCAGCCTCATCCACAATTCCTCTGTTCTGTTTGAATCAACATAGACTACATTTTATTTTCATAGTACAGGGGGCCAGGCTTTATCTTCCCTTTAACTGTGCTCAGTATGCTACATCCCAGTACGTCTTTTTACCGCTCTACCCTTTGTGGTGAACCAGCTCTTTGCTCCAAAATCCATCTAATCTGCTTTCAAGAACAAGGGATTGTTCCTTCTATGGTCTACTTTAGTTGCTGTCTTCCCCTTCCCAGTGCTGTGCAAGAATCCCCTCCCTGTGTTGGCAGCACTTCTGTCTGCAGTTTCTCTATCCCTCTGGGAAAAGACCGATGTTTATTCAAATAGGAATTTTGCTAAAAGTAGTCCAAATAAATTTGAACAGAATATTGAAATGTTTCACAGCCTGATTTCCTTACTAGTGAGTGTTAAGTACCAAAGAGCTGGTGTGAGGAGAAAATGAGGTAGCATATAGAAAGCTTAGAGCTGTGCCAGGCATGGACGGGGCTTTCCTCTTCTGTACTTACCCTATTCATAGACAGCAGGTTTGCTGACGTTAGGAAGTAGTATCTGTTCTTAAAATTGCTATCTCAGCAATTTATAAATTCATTGAGCATATCTTCTCAGGTAATTGCCATATGTCCAAAATCTTTTGGGATTATAGCAGTTTTTAAGTCATAGAAATACATGGGTTTTCACATAATTTTTTTAATGTTTTTTTTTTTATGCAATGTATTCTGATCATAGTTTCCCTTTCCTCATTTCCTCACTTTCAGCCTTCCTACCCATCCAACTTCATGCTTGCTTTCTCTCTTTAGAAATCAAACAGGGCAAGCCAGACATGGTGGCACATGCCTTTAATCCTTTAATCCCAGCACTCAGGAAGGTGGCGGCAGGTGGGTCTGTGTGAGTTCAAGGTCAGCCTAGTCTAGAAAGTGAGTTCAGGAGAGCCAAGGCCACAAAGAATCCCTGTGTATTATTATTGTTGTTATATGTATACACAATATTTTTATATAATCATTGTATATTATTATGTGTATGTATATTATATGTTATGTATGTAAACTATTATATGTATGTATACTATAATACATACATAGTACATATAGACTAAAAGGCAAGTAAAAACCAAGCCAGAATAAACAAACAGGGGCAAAAAACAGGAGAAACACACATGTAGATGCATGCCTACAAATCATAAAAACACAAAATTATTATAAACCATAATATATAATCAAAAGACCAGAAGGTTAAAAACCCTCCATTCTGAGGAAAAAAAAATCTCCAGAAATCCCACTGAATTCATTTGGGGCTAGCTATCCACGGCTGGCACAGGGCCCGCTCTAAGTGTGATTTATACCCCCGAGAGTCCTTTGAAGAAGCTAAATTTCCCTCTGTGGGTGATTGACAGTTGGTGATAGCTTCTGGGGTCGGGAAGGGGCTCATGAGCACTGGGACCTCATCTGGCAGAGATCAGCACAGGCTGTGTGCGTGCTGCCATGGTGTCTCAGAGTCAGTCCTATTGTGTCTAGAAAGGTGGTTCCTTGTCTTCCATCCCTACTGGCTCTTAAAACCTTTCTGCCTCATCTTCTACGTAGCCCCCTGAGTCCTGAGGTAAGGGGTTTGGTGAATATATCCCAATTAGGATTCTCACTCTCTGTACATTGTCTAGCTGTGGGTCTCTGTATTAGTTCCCTTCTACTGCAGGAGGAAGCTTCTCCGATGATGAGTGAATGAGACCCTAATGTACGGGTATAGCAGAATGTCAGGAGTCATTTTATTGTTATATTCCTTTAGCAGAACAATTAGTATATAGTTTTTCCCTTGGTTTATGCCCTATCTCATGTCCTTGGCTACCTGAGCAGTTCCAGGCCTGAGTTCCATCTGATGAGTGGGGCGGAAATCCAGTCAGATAGTGGTTGCTTACTGCCACAACTTTTGTGCCACTATCTTAGTTTTTATTTTATCGACATTGGTGTTTTGCTTGCATGTATGCCTGTGTGAGGGCGTCAGATCTTGGAGTTACAGCTGCCATGTGGGTGCTGAGAATTAAACCCAGGTCCTCTGGAAGAGTCATCAGTGCTCTTAACCCCCGAGTCCCCATTGTAGACTGAAGGGTTTGTAGCTGGGTTGGTGTTTACCTTTCTCCTCTGGTAGTGTGCTAAGTACCTTCCAGTACCATGAATACTAGTCAGCAGGGGTGAAAGCTTTAGCTAGACACCAGCTCGACTTCTTGGTGTTCCGTGTTCAGTGTTGTCTTAAGCAGTGGGGCCTTACCAGCAGTTTCACATACACTCTTGAGAGGAGAAAGAGACAATAGAAGAACAAATTGACTTTAGGAAGAGTTAAGTGATATAAAGACAACAAGGAACAAAAATGAATGTATAAGCGAGCCTAGGCAAATAGGTAAACGGGCAGAGCCGTTGCTAAAACACACCTAGGCTGGATAAGCTCTTTCTAAGTAGCAGTTTGAGGTTTCTCGATGAGTGTCCTTTCCTTTTCCTCTCCAGGTGGACTCAGCAAAGCTGACAAGGAACTCATCATCATAGTGACCAGCTTGAGTGAAAGGTGCCTATACAACGTGGTTGTCCACAGTGCCATGTACAGGTTCTACTCGAAAAACCCGGTACTCTCTGAGCAGGTTGGTGCCTACCTCCCCTGTGCCAGTTTTAGGGCCTCTGTGTACCTGCAGAAAGGGCAAAAGCCATGTCATTGTATGGTGCAGTGCAATCACCTCACGTTCTTCTCACTATCTGAGTTCCCTTCCGGACCCCATCGCTGTTGCTTCTTTATACATGAGATATGAGGTAGAGAGGAACAACCCCAGCTTGATGCCAGATGCGCTGGTTACCTGACCTATATTCTCTCCTCCCTAAAGTGAGCCTCACTTTAATCATTTCACTCTCAGCTCAGAGCTTGCACTCGCAGGGAGCATCCAAACGTAAGATGACAACATCTTATTTCAGAGCTGTCCTTTTCTGCTATGCTACGCTGCTTGTATTTTCTAGTGGGCAGTGATACATCCACTGATTATTCTTAGAGGAACCAAGTCAGAGTTTTAGCGCTTTTTTTTCTACTTTTATTATTATTATTATTAATTACAGTTTATTCACTTTGTATCCCCCCATAAGGCCCTCCCTCTTCCCCTCCCGGTCCCACCCTCCCTCACCCTTCTTCACGCATGCCCCTCCCCAAGTCCACTGATAGGGGAGGTTCTCCTCTCCTTCCTTCTGATCTTAGTCTATCAGATCCCATCAGGAGTGGCTGCATTGTCATCTTCTGTGGCCTGGTAAGGCTGCTCCCCACTCAGGGGGAGGTGATTAAAGAGCAGGCCAATCAGATTATGTCAGAGGCAGTCCCTCTTCCCATTACTATGTAACCCACTTGGACACTACACTGCCATGGACTACATCTGTGCAGGGGTTCTAGGTTATCTCCATGCACGGTACTTGGTCGGAGTATGAGTCTCTGGGAAGACCCCTGTGTTCAATTTTTCTGGTTCTGTTGCTCTCCTTGTGGGGTTCCTGTCCTCTCCAGATCTTACTATTTCCCACTTCTTACATAAGATTCCCTGCACTTTGCCCAACAGTTGGCCTTAAGTCTCAGTTGTCTGCTTTGATAGTCTGCAGGGCAGAGCCTTTCAGAGGCCCTCTGTGGCAGGTTCCTAGGTTGTTTCCTGTTTTTTTCTTCTTCTGATGTCTATCCTCTTTGACTTTCGGGTTGGGGATTGAGCGTTTCAGTCAGCGTCCTCTCTCTTAATTAGTTTCTTTAGATGTACAGGTGTTAGTAGGTTTATCCTATGTTATATGTCTATATGAGTGAGTATATACCGTGTGTGTCTTTCTGATTCTGGGACAGCTCACTCAGGATGATCCTTTCCAGGTCCCACCATTTACCTGCAAATTTCATGATTTCCCTATTTTTCATTGCTGAGTAATACTCCATTGTATAGATGTACCACAGTTTCTGCATCCATTCTTCAGTTGAGGGGCATCTGGGCTGTTTCCAGCTTCTGGCTATTACAAATAAAGCAAATAAAGCTGCCACAAACATGGTTGAGCAAATGTCTTTATTGTGTACTTGATCCCCTTTTGGATATATGCCTAGGAGTGATATGGCTGGATCTTGAGGAAACGTTATTCCTAGTTGTCTGAGAAAGCGCCAGATTGATTTCCAGAGTGGTTGTACAAGTTTACATTCCCACCAGCAGTGGAGGAGGGTTCCCCTTTCTCCACAACCTCTCAAGCATGTGTTGTCACTTGAGTTTTTCATCTTGGCCATTCTGATGGGTGTAAGGTGAAATCTCAGGGTCGTTTTGATTTGCATTTCCCTAATGGCTAATGACGTTGAGCATTTCTTTAAGCATTTCTTTTTCTGCCATTCATTATTCCTCTACAGAGAGTTCTCTGTTTAGCTCTGTTCCCCATTTTTAATTGGATTACTTGGTTTGCTGCTTTTCAGCTTCTTTAGTTCTTTATATATACTGGATATTAGCCCTCTGTCAGATAAAGGGTTGGTGAAGATTCTTTCCCAGTCTGTAGGCAGTTGTTTTGTTTTGATGATGGCGTCCTTTGCTTTACAGAAGCTTTTCAGTTTCATGAGGTCCCATTTATTGATTGTTGCTCTTAGAGCCTGTGCTGTTGGTGTTCTGTTCAGGAAGTTGTCTCCTGTGCCAATGAGTTCAAGGGTATCCCCCACCTTTTTTTCTAACCGATTTAATGTGTCTGGTTTTATGTTGAGGTCTTTGATCCACTTGGACTTCAGTTTTGTGCAGGGTGATAAGTATGGATCTATTTGCCTTTTCTTACATGTAGATATCCAGTTAGACCAGCACCATTTGTTGAAGATGCTATCTTTTTTCCATTGTATGGTTTTGGCATCTTTGTCAAAGATCAGGTATCCATAAGTGTGTGGGTTTATTTCTGGGTCCTCTGTTTGGTTCCATTGATCCGCCATTCTGTTTCTATGCCAGTACCATGCAGTTTTTATAACTGTTGCTCTATAGTACAGCTTATATCAGGGATGGAGATACCTCCAGAAGATCTTGTATTGTAGAGGATTGTTTTGGCAATTCTGGGTTTCTTGTTATTCCATATGAAGTTGAGAATTTTTCTTTCCAGGTCTGTAAAGAATTGTGTTGGTAATTTGATGGGAATTGCATTGAATCTGTAGATTGCTTTTGGTAAGATGGCCATTTTTACTATGTTAATCCTGCCAAGCCATGAGCATGGGAGATCTTTCCATCTTCTGATATCTTCTTCGAGTTTTAGCTTTTATTTCTTAGTGCTGGCCCCAGCTTTTGCCCCAATCTGCCTATCTTTCTGGAATGGTCGCTATCTTCTCTCCCACCAAGATGGATTGTGAAATTAGTCCTGTTTACCCAGTAACCAACTTACTCTGTCCTTGATTCATCTCAGAGGCCATCCTAATTATTTGCAGAAAATGGGCTGAGGACAAAGACAGCAAATGAGGATTTGCCACCAAGTTTCCCTGGTCCTACTTTCTACAAAATCCCTTGTTTTTGGAGCTGGGGAAATAAAAGAAATTCTCTAAATTTATTCTAAAGTTGAAGTGCGTCAGTTTCTCTACTCCTACAGTCTTCTCTCCTGACCTCACCTGAGCAGAAATTGTGTTGCTAGCCTCTAGGTAACTTCAGGATCCCTTCTGTCCTTCAGAGTGCCCCTCCAGTCAGCTGGCCCGTGATTGTCCTGGCTTTGTCAAGCATTGCCTCCTAGTTGCCATCAAGTGTGTTGTCATACTGTGGTTGATAAGGTGGTCTAATATCTTAAGTTTTTAGTAGTTTCCAGTAATTTGCTCCCATCAGAGAAAATGGTTATTAGTACAGTCTGTAAGGCCTCATGTCCTTGGGACCTGACCTCAGCTCTGTAATGGCGTAGCCATATGACCATAGGGAAGTTACTTTGCTTCTTTGAGCTGCAGTTTCTTCTTCAATAAAATGGGGGATAATAAAAATACTGCTGCTTAGAGAATGAGATATAAATAATGAAATGCCCAACACATTCTTAATGCATCAGTGGCTGAATGTACGGCTTGTTTTTGTTTTTGGCTTTAGCTTTGTGAGACAGTCTCTCGTGCTGCAGCTCAGGATGGAATTCACTGTGTTTTCCTAGGTAGAATCACACTCTCAGGGAACCTCCTGCCTCAGCATGAGCCACCGTTTATCTGTGGATAAATAGAAACTATTAATTTCACAAATATTGTGTCTTGATTGGGCTTTACTGGGGACTGAGAGCCTTGTTTTTATCTAGGAGGGAAGCTCTTCAAGTATGATAAAGTTATTGACTATGAGATTCATTAGCTAATTAATTAATTGATTGATATTTGTTTGTTTATTTATTTGTCTATTTGGTTTTGAGACAGGGTTTCTCTGTGTAGCCATGGTTGTCTGGGAACTCACTCTGTAGACCAGGCTGGCCTTTAACTCAGAGAGCCACTTACCTGCCTCCCAAGTGCTGGGATTCACTTCTTGGCCTGATGCTGAGATTTTTCTTTAAATCATGGCTGTTTAGGGGAAAAGGGAAAAAAAAGAATTTTTTTTAAGGATGCTTTTTTAAAAGATTTATTTATTTATATTTATTATTTATTATTTATGTTCTGCCTGCATGTATGCCTGCAGGCCAGAAGAGGGCACCAGATCCAGATCTCATTATAGAAGGTTGTGAGTCACCATGTGGTTGCTGGGAATTGAACTCAAGACCTTTGGAAGAGCAGCCAGTGCTCTTAATCTCTAAGACATCTTTCCAGCCTCAAAAGGGAGAATTTGCTCATTTTTAAGAGACAAAGTCATGTTCTCTTGCCCAGACTGTTACTAAACTGACTTAAGTCATCCTCATGTGTCAGCTTTGAGTAGAAGGGATCGCCACTGTGTCCAGGTGGAAAGGAGGAGCTGTTTTCTCTTTTAAAGTTAAGGGTGTGTGTACGCCTGAGTATGTGTGCACTACAGAAGTGCAGGTGTTGTCAGGCTAGCAGAAGGTATTGGATCCCCTGGAACTGGGGTTACTGCAGGTATGAGCCACCACGTGGGTACTGGATACGGAACCTGGACCCTGTGCAAGAGCAGTCAATGCTCTTAATTGTCGAGCCATCTTTCCAGCCTGAAAATAAAGAGGATTTTGAAAGTAAACTAAGCAGAAAGTCTTTAGAAACGTGTACTTATTTGTGTGTGCGAGCCTCACCTGCATGCATGTGTACCACGTGTGCACTCAGTGCCTCAGAGGCCAGAAGAGGGTGTCAGACCCCCTGAACTGGAGTTACAGATGCTTGTGAACTGAGCCTACATCCTCTGTAAGAGCAAGTGCTCTTAACCACTGAGACATCTCTCCAGTCCTGCAAAAAAGACTTCTTGGTAGACATGGTTTTGAAGTAGATTTCCATTAGGCCTGCCTGACCAAAATATTAATCTTTCTGGTATGATTTTGCTCCTTTTATTCTAGAATAAACATTGAGGGCTTTTCCCCATTAATTTCATTAGACCTTGAATTAGCTGTGTTGTAATGGACCAAGATTTTGATTGTGTGTTTCATTGCAGGTCTGTATAAACTGGAGAAAGTCTGACCTCCCTGCACGAGAAAAAGCAATGGTAGAGTTTGCACTTGCTGTTTCCCAGGCTGATGAAATAACAGATGAGCATTTCAAAAAGCTTGAAATGCACGGCTTCAACAGAGAAGATGCCTGGGACATCGCTACCATTACAGCTTTCTATGCTATGGCCAACCGCTTTGTTCATTTTATCGACATCATTCCTAATAGGGGATTCTATTCAGTGGGCAGAAACAATGATACTAAACAGACTGAGAATGAAAGTACTGCTCCAAAAATATGTTAGCCTGACAGGAAAGGCCAGTGTTTATCGTTTCACTTATGTTGCACTGGAAGACATCAGTTGTATAGCAATTTAAAAATAAAAATAAAACATCCTAGTTATTGAATATAGAAAAAGCATTGTTCCCCACCCACTTGATGAAAAATAGGTCCTGAGTTGTCAGGGACATGTGATACTTGACAGCTGGGGACACGGTTCAGAAAATCTTTGTTGAGTATTTACTTCCTTTGTGATCCAAAAGAACCATAAGGCAAAGGGGTTCCAGTGATGCTTAAATATGAATAGATACCTAAGTGAACTTTTGCTACTAAAGTTGAAATTTTTTTTAGCTTTCCAAATGGTTTTACCCAGAAATTGGTCAATCTAGACTGATTCAAAGTCAGTTCCTACTAACATGGCTGAATGTATAGACTCTCAAAGGTAGTGGATCTACAGGAACAGCTGAATTTTAGTTCTATTTTTAGTGCCTTCTCAAGTTTTTTACTGATATAGAATCTTAGTGTTATGCAATATGCTTTTAAAAATATGCTAAAAAGCCTTTAGTAAATATTTGGAATAAGTATTACATATTAAGTAAAAGCATTTAAAGAAACAGGTATTACTAAATGACTTATTCTTTGTGTTACAACCATTTTAATTTTTCGAGAGTCATTATAACATGACAGAAAACATGTAATACAAACTTTTTTACTCCCATTTTGTTTCCTTAGATTTTCTAAATTAACAGTGGACACGTTTTATTCTCTTCTCTACAGTACTAGGGGTTAACATCAGGCTTCACACATGTTAGGCAAATGCTCCACCACTGAACCATACTCTCAGCCTGGGAAACAGCTCTTAGGCTTTGGGACCCTGGTATGCTTTTTCATGTTGAATCCCCTGCCCTGTGAAACCTGACTATGCGGAGTTAATACAAACAGAATGAAGATTTCTTGATTTTTCTGCTTAAAGTTCAGCCGTACAAACTGAAGATTTCTTGATCTTCTGCTTTGAGTTCATCCATTGAGCTGGAGCGGTGGTGGTGAACGAATTTAATCCTAGCCCATGGGAGGCAGAGGCAGGTGGAGCTTTGTGAGTTTGAGGGCAGTCTGATCTATAAAGAGAGTTCAAGACAGCCAGGGCTACACAGAGAAAGCCTGTCTCAAAAACAAACAAAAGAGCGCAATCATTGAATATCTAATTACCTTCCTGCAGACATCTTTCAGGTCTATCTTCACAGGCTAGATTGTCTTCCTGGTTACCATCACAGTCACTAAATGTGAACTTCTACAATGCTGTCTAAGACCTAGAGAATTGGTCAGAATATCTGCCTTGCCTTTTATCTCAAGCTATCCTTTTTGAGGACTAAGCTTCTCTGCACTGAAAACCCCCATTTTATGTTAATACTTTCGCTAAAAACAGGTTTATTCGTACTCCGCAGCAGCAGTGAGAAAGGCCTTCTATCCTCGGGGACTTTTGTGCAGTGATCGGAAGATTCAGTATGCGCTCAACTTGACAGTGGCTCTTGCTTTGTAGGGTTGAGCTGATGCAGCTCTTCAGCCCCCCTCAGTTACTCCTAGCCGCATCTATGTTCCTTTTGCAAGGAAGAGAAGGCTCTGGCCTTAATAAAGATTTACCTTACTGCGCAGTAGCCGAGATTTGGGCAGACATTTATGGCACCCATGGGTTCCGTTATTCTAGGCACAGTCCGATGCCTTTTAAGTGTTAATATTCGTGAATCATTAGACTCCTAGGCTGAGTAGGCAGTGCACCAAGAGATTTACTGTGTGACCTACATAAATACAGTAATACTCCCTCCCCCACCCCCTTGCCCAATCTCAGTGTAAGGACAGCAGCAGGTAATCCGACCCAGTCTCGTCGAACCGGCCGGCCACACAGCCAGCTCACCGACAGCCGTGGGCCGACTCCCAGCTGTTTGTAGTCGGGTCCTGTGCGCCCGACGCGGCTCACAGAGGGCTAGTGGCTCCCTCCTGACCTCACAGTCCTCCAGGGTGGTGGCGCCTACGACTCGGCGGTGCCCCTGCTTTTCCGTCCCCGGCGGAGGGCAGCCAAGCGGCGGCACGGCTTTCCCAGTCGGCGGGTTTAGGACGCGACACCCGGAAGTGGCGGCTGGAGCGGGAGCGCTGAGTTGTCGGGCGGCGGGACAGCGGCCCGGAATAGGGGGCGGGGGCGTTGGTCATGTTTCCCTTCGGGCCCCACAGCCCGGGCGGGGACGGGGCGGCTGGAGCCGAGGAGCCGCCGCCTCTCGGAGGGCCGGCGGCAGCTTCCAGACCGCCCTCTCCAGCCCCGCGGCCGGCGCCTCCACAGCAAGAAGCTGACGCGGCCCCTCCCCCGCCGGCCGCCCGGAGCCCTCGGCTCCCGGGCGGCCCCGCACTGTCCCCGGACGAGCGCGCCGGAGAGCTCGCGGCCCCCGGAGCTCTGGAGTTGTCCGCTGCCGCCCCGCAGGCCGAGCTGTCACCGTCGTCCTCGCCGCGCAGACGCTCGCGGCCGGACTGCAAGGCGGGCAGCCGGAGCCGGCAGGGCCTCAGCACCGGCCTGGGCGGCCCCGGCGCCAGACTGTTCGGGTGGCTGAGAGAGCGAAGCCTCGGCCGCGGCCTGTTCGTGGACCCGGCGCGGGACAATTTCCGCACGATGACAAACCTGTATGGTTCCATCCACCCCGCCGACTCCGTGTACCTCAGCACCCGCACCCACGGTGCTGTCTTCAACCTCGAGTACTCGCCGGACGGGTAAGCTCCCGCGCCCCAGCCGGCTCCCTCCAGCCAGGCTGCTGGCCTTCGTGCCCCTGGTCCTTTCAGAAGCACATTGTCTGTCGCCCGTGAGCCCCGTCCTGGCCTTTTGAGGTAGGCAGGCCCAGTGCTTCCCTTGGGGTCCTGGAGGCTCGGTGAGAGAGAAATAGCTTAAGCCGTCGCTGCAGGTCAGAGCCAGTCCACCACTAGGACTTTGTGGTACTCTCAGGTGCTCAGTAAATGCGCTTTAAATGCGTACTCGTCATTTTGCTGTTATCCTGGTTGGCTTTTCTCTGATCTGAGTTTGTGTTGAAGGTGGAAACCTTGCAGAGTCTTTGGACCTTGTGCCAGATCCTGTCATGAGACAATCAAGCTCCAGAAAGATACTAAGTCAGACACTGAAGAACTACGTTTCTCAGTGTTTGGACCATTTGTGGAATGACTACATGCTTGGGTTGAGGGTATCCAGCTTTTTTTTCTGGACTGGTAAGATGTTTGCTGTTGTTTTACCTCAAGCTGTAGGAAATTTTCAAAACTACCCCAGGTCTGTTTAGTCCTTTATCTTGCAAGTGCACAGCTTTAACAATCAGAAGAAAATACTGTTCATGGTTCCACCATAAGATGACATAATTAATAGCATTCTTATTACATCAGGCCTCTGGGTTACTAGCCTTTGCTTAGTTAATGCATTCATTCATTCAATCCCTCATTCACTAGATGCACCTGGAACACTTGATAGGTTGCAAATGTGTGGCTACCAGTGGTGAGTAAGACTAGCTAATAACATGCCTTTTACTGAGCTTGGGCTCTATTAGTTATGAGAGTCTAAGTAATGCACAGTGTACACCCACACATTGAGATAAAGGCTTGAAGCCTGTCGATCTTGGGTATTTAAGGTGAGAAAATGCACTTGAATCAAGATCAGAAAACAATTGCAGAAGATATGGTTATATTATTGGTTTGGTATCACATTTTACTTGATTGATTGAGTGATTACTGTCCTGGGCTCACACATGCTAGAGAAGTGCTGTTCCATTGAGCTACAGCTCTGTCTCTAAATTGCAGAAGATAAATGAATCAAGATTTCTGGGTAAAGAATAGAAGTATTTCATATGAATATGAACTTATGCTGAAGTGTCATATTAGCATATCATGTTAGAGGAAATGATGAAGCAAAAAAAAATTTCAAGGAAGAAAGATTTAATATGCTGAGAAAGAAGCAAGGGAACATAGCTACTGAGCAAGTAAGACCTGTTTTAGTTCATTGATAAAAATTTTCTTCCTAATTATACCTGGTACTAGGATCTTTGGGGCATCTTCCATAGCAGTTTCCTGGAGTTTTAGCAGTGGGTGCATATCTGAATTTGGAAGAAAACTTACGAGAAGAGAAACTTTTGTTACCTGAAGCTCATTCATAGAACTGTCTTCCTTATACTCTACTCTTAAAGCCTCCTCCTCTCCCCAAATTCTGTCTGTTCCTTTTTTCTCTATAGCCCAATCCCTCTTTATCAAATGTCTATTTATACTTTCAGGACTTCAGAAGAAATTGTGTTGATTCTTTGGAGGTAGATTTTGTAAATAGAAAATGGTGATTCTAGGGTTAATTATGAAAAATTTAATTTAAATTGCCCAGCGGCTGTTAGAATGAGGCTTACACATAGTTCCTGTTTTCTTTTCTTTTCTTTTTTTTTTTTGAGGCAGAGTTTCTCTGTGTATTCCCGGCTGTCTTGGAACTCTGTAGACCAGGCTGGCCTTGAACTCATAAAGATCCACCTGCCTCTGCCTCCTGAGTGCTGGGATTATAGGCGTATGCCACCACCTCCTGGCTACACATAGTTCTTATTTGAATATGGACTCCTTTCTTCCAGAGAAATTTATTTATTCATTTTGTTTCATTTTGGTTTTGTCTCCATGATGGCCCTGGTTGCCCTGATACTCACTGTGTAGACCAAGCAGGCCTCGAAGTCACAGAGATCCATCTTCCTCTGTTTTTCAAGTGCTAGTATTAAAGACATCACACATTCATACAAGTTCATGTGCATGCCATGGCTTACATGTGGAGATCAGAAGACAACATGAGAAGTCATTCTTTCCACATATGGGTCTCAGGGATAGAACTCAGGTAGTCAGCCTTGGTGTTAAGTACCTTAAGTTAACCTTGGTGTTAACTTACCTTGGTGTTAAGTACCAGCCATCTTGTCAGCCACCAGAAGCATTTTTTGTTTTTCAAGACAGGGTTTCTTTGTCCTGGACTCGTTTTGTAGGCCAAGCTAGCTCCAAACTCAGAGAGATTCGCCTGTCTTTGCCTCCCCAAGTGTTGGAATCACAGGAAGACACACACACACACACACACACACACACGCACACATGTTTATCCACATATGCACAGATATGCAAAGGTAAGAAAGGGACAGAAGAAAAAGAGCTGTTGATAATGGTTGATACTGTCCAGTCGTAAAGCACTTACCCAGCATGTGGGTTTAATTAAGTACCCCACCACATAAGATGAAGTATAATGGATAAAAAGTACAAAGTATAGTTGAAAATAAATCCAGATGCTACTAAGTACAATAAATACGTGTTCTAATAAAGAAAAAACATAGTTCCAGCTGGCAGAAGTCTAAGGGCAGGAGGACCACTTGGGCCCATTAGTTTGAAACAGGCTTAGACAGTATATCCAGACTCTATTTCAAAGGGATAAGCAAAGATTGTTAGATTACAGAGGAAAATAGTTAAAAGGGAATACAAATATATATCAAATACATTCTAAAACAATTATATTAAGAGGAGGATAACATAGGCTTGAAGGGAAAAAATTAATAAAGCGACTAAGTTACATCATAATGATGAAAACTCAGCTCTTCCTAGAAACTTGAATGGGTATTTACAAAAGATTAAACAAATATTAGATTTAAAATATAACAAGGTTTGACACTTCTGGGAGAAAACAGCAAATTTATCGCCATAAGGGAAAGAAGAAGAATACATAGGTAAGATAGTATCACCATTTTTTCAGTATCACTTAAAATCTTTAAAAGGGCAAGGATAGAGCACTCTGTACCATGATATTCAGCCACTACATACTGCTTCAGCTATACCAGTTGTTAAAATATTGATTCTTTCCTAGTAATTGAAGTTAATTCTCCAAACGTGTCTTCATTGCAGTGCTTCAGTACATTCCTTGATACTCCTAGAGTAAACCATTATATTAGCAATTATAGAATTAAGAACCAGCATAGCAAGAGGCTATTAACAAAAATCTGTGTAGAGAACTATAAGCCTGCATCTATTCTAATTGATCCCCCCCACATATAGTGTGCTAATGTGCCCCCTGCCTCCATACACCTGAGGGTAGAGCTGTGTCTTAGTTAGGGTTTCTATTGCTGTAGCGAAAACACCATGACCAAAAAGCAAGTTTGGAAGAAAGGGTTTATTCAGCTTATACTTCCAGATCATAGTCTATCATCAGAGGAAGTCAGGACAGGAACTCAAGCAGGGCTGGAACCTGGAGGCAGGGGCTGATGCAGAGGCCATGGAGGGGTACTGCTTACTAGCTTGCTTCCCATGGTTTTCTCAGCCTGCCTTCTTACAGAACCCAGGGATGGCACCACCCACAATGGACAGGTTTCTCAGTTTAACCCTGGCTGTCCTGGAACTCACTCTGTAGACCAGACTGGCCTTGAACTCAGAGATCCACCTGCCTCTGCCTCCAGAGTGCTGGGATTAAAGGCAGGTGCCAATACAACCAGGCTTTGGAAATAAAGTTTTTAAAAAGTAGAAATTAATGAAATTTGAAAATAGAAATACTCAATATGGAGAAAAGAATGTCTTTGAAATGACATAATAATGAACACATATGGCATTGATCAAGAGGCTACACAAACAGCATTCAGGATGAAAAGGGGAGCATTTATCATTAATCTCTAACCTGGTGTGGTAGGTACAAGAGCTAGAAAGCTTAACTCCCAGAACTAGTAGATAAGTGCTTTGACAGCCTTTCCAACAGAATAATCAGAAAGGTTATAGAAAAGTATGTATTAGTTAATAAAAAGTATAAAAAAGCTTATGTTTGAAGGGATTATAAAATTACTAGAATAATGAAGAAATTGCAGGCACAAAATCTAGAGATGTCGGCTCTGCATTTGAGGTCACTTTTCTTAAGAGGCCTCTATCAGTTCCAAGAGCAGCAGCAGAGAGACTGAAGAGGGGTTCTAATGGACACATGGCTCAGGGTGATCGGAGTGAAATGCATATAGTTTAAGATCAGACAAGGAGATGGGCCTGGGTTGAAACTGTATAAGAATATACCCTAGGACTAAAGCTTGATCAGGGTTAGTTTCCAAAGCACTAAAGCCAACTTCAAATCATCTCATTTCCTAGTGAATTAATACAATCACAGCCAGGTGTGGGGGCTCACTCCTGTAATCTCAGCATTTGGGAAGCTGAAGCAGGAGGATCACTGAGACTTCAAGACCAGCCTGGACTACAGAGTGAAACCTTGTCTCAAAAAAAAAAAAAAAAAAAAAAAAAGTGGGGAGGAGGTCAAGGGGTGTGGGTCAATGAGTGAGTGGTTTATCTCCAGTCTTACAAAAGCCCTCAGACACTCATGCTTATGTGGCAAGTGTTTGATTAATGGAGCTGGCTGCCTAACCCCAAATTAAATATATACTATAATTGCTAAATGATATAGAAGGACCCAGCCCACTGTGTGGGCCACATGTGTTTGTGTTTGTGTCTCTGAATGAGTTGATGTCCACCACATGGGTTCGGGTGGTGGAATCCCAACATGGAACTGCCATGTTGGTGCTGGAAACTGAACCTGGATTCTCTTTAAAAACAGTAAACACCTGCAGAGCCATCTCTCCAGCCTTATCTCTATTAAACTTGTATGTTCATGAGGGACACTCAGTAGAAGGAACCAGGTACAGAAAACATATAAACAGAAGAATTGTCTGAAAAAAACAGAATTGCCACACAAAAACAGACCTCTTCAGGATTAA